CTATTCCTCGTCTGATCATTCCTCGGTTTCTTCCTCGTATTCCTCCTCCGATTCCTCCTCCTAGTCCGCCTCATATTCCTCCTCATATTCCTCCTCCTATTACCCCTCCGTGCTACTCATCCTGCCTATCCCTCCCTCCTATTCCTCTCTCCTGTTCCTATTCCTCCGTCCTATTTCTCATTCGATTCCTCTCATATTCCTCATCAGATTCATCATATTCCTCATCTTGTTCCTCCTATTATTCATTTTGTTCCTCCTCTTATTTCTCCTCCTATTCCTCTTGCTACGTCCTCCTTCTATTCATAATCCTCCTCCTGTATGTCCTCGGATTTCCCATGATATTCCTCATCCTATTCCCTATTCGTAGTCCTCCTCCTATTCCTCCGCCTATAGTCATCCTCCGATTCCTCTTCCTAGTCCTCCTCCTAGTCCTCCTCTCGTTCCTTCTCTTTTTCTTACTCATATTCCTCCTCGCGTTCCTCATCTTATTCCTCCTCTCCTCCTCTTCCCCTCATGTTCCTCCTCCGATTCGTCCTCCGATATTCCTCCTCCATTCCTTCTCCTATTCCTGGTTCTGCCCTTGTTATTATCCTCCGATTCCTTCTCAGATTCCTCTTCCTATTCCTCCTCATTTTCCTCCTCCTATTCCTCCTCCTAGTCGGCCTCCTAGTCGTCATCCTAATCCTCCTCGAATTTATTGTCCTATTCCTCTCCTATCGCATTCCTCCTTTCATTCCTCCTACGGTTCCTTCTATTCATCCTCCCATTCATCATCATATTCCCCACTCGTGTTCCTCCTCCTATTCCTCATCCCTCATGCTTATGTTTCCTACTCCTCATTATTATTTCTTCTATTCTGGCCAAGCGTTGCATATAATATGTTTGATTATCATCAGGGCTGTGTACAGCGGGAGCAGCACTGCCTTGAGGGAGCCCTCCCAATAGGACAGACTACGTATATTCGGCCTGCACATGTACGATTAATATTCCTCTTCGGCCGCATCTTCAAATATTCATCACCAACTTGACGAAATCCATGAGATCTCATGTATCTATCCGAAACCCATACAAATCATGAATAACCCTCATGCAAAAACGCTGAAAAACCAAGCTTCCACACCTTCTACATGGAAGATATGGAGGGCGCAGGTCGAGGGGTGGTGCCCGAAGTGCCAGAGCGGCCCCAACCCCCCGGGGAAGAGGGATAGCTGCGATAGCTGCGGCGAGCCCTGCCACAAGAGGGAATGGCTCCTGGCCGAGGTGGAGCGGATGCGGCGGACCAAGAGGGGAGCGGAAGCGTGGGCCAGGTACATCGAGCGGAACCCCGAGGGGGGCCGCGAGACCGAACCCCAGACGACCCTCACCCTGCAGGACTTCGTCCTGGGTCTCCGACGTGGGACTTCACCCCCACAGGGCCGCCCCACCGGGAAGGGGGAGAGGCCCGGCACACCCCCGAAAGGAGGAAAGGGGCGTGGGCGGGGGAAAGAGCCACATGGCGGCCGAGGGAAGTCCCGAGGGAAGTCTCGCTTGGGGAAGGGGAGTGGGTCCACGTCGCGCAAGCGCTGGAAGTGCTGCGACAACACCCAGCCCCCCCCAGGGGTGTGCCGGTACTATTGGAAAAGCCGTCCCTGCAAGACGTCGGGCTGCAAGTACCGCCACCACCACCCGTGGGGCCCCCCCGCGCCGGCCCAACCGGAAGACCGCCCGCCCAAGGACGGCTCCCCAGAGCGGGGGAGGAGCGGAAGCCTGGGACGACCCCGGCCCCGGGAGCGGAGCCGGGGCGCCTCCTCGGAAAGCCGGGGGAGGGGATCACCCTCCCCAGTCCGGGCCAAGAAGGGCTTCCCCCCTGCGGCTCGGGACCCACCCGGCGCGGGAGGGGGGGCGAAGCCGGGCGTGGAGGACCTCCCGAGGGTCATCGAGGAGCAGAGCGTCGGAGGCGGCCAGCGCAAGCGGATCGCCGTCGTCCGGCATCACGTGGAGGCGGCAGGCGGCCAGGTGGGAGGGGCCGCGCCCAAACCCCGCGTGCGGCGCGGCATGGGGGTCATGGAGGTGCCCTGTGTCCACGCGCGGGTGGCCCCCCACACTCTATTCGTCGGGGCCAACGGGGCCTCCCGCTACATCTGCTGCCACTTCTGCAGGACGGGGGCAGGCGCGCACCTGGTGGTAGCCAAGAAGCAGACGGAGGAGATTTGGAGGTTCCTGGTGATGCGCCTGATCTGCACCATGGATGGGGCGCAGGGCGCGGGCCAAGTTTCCAGATCTGTGGAAGACGGGACTTACGGAGGCCCCCTTGCCCCCGCCCCCAGACAGCCGCCTCGTCCGGCTGGTGATCAGGGAGGACCGAGACCCTGCCTTGGTCGCCGACCCTCGCGACCCGAGGCGGCCAGTCCAGACGAGGGGGCGCGCGGGAGCCGGCGCACTCGCGCAGCGGGTATCCGCCTTCCTCGGAGGGCTTTGGCCCGCGGGGCCCCGAGAGGAGGGCGAATCCCCGCGGGGCCGCCGAGCGGTCGCACACCTCGACCGCGCCACCCTGCGCGTCCCCGAAGGCGTTCCCGGCCACCTAGACTGGGGCGGCAAGACCTTCCTCACCCTCCTCCGGGAGTGCCCCGAGCGGCGCCGCCAGCTCCGCCGCCGCCGGCAGGAGCCCCGTCTCCACGCGCTGCACAAGTTTCGGGATTGGCTGCGGGAGGAGTCTGCCTCGGGGAACCCCTTTGGAGGGGAGCCAGTCCCTCTGGCCCCACGGAGGACGACCCGGCGGACCTCACCCCGGCCTGGCAGGAGGCCTCCCCTGAGGTTGGATCTGGCCATTTTTTGCCCTCGGCTGTCTCATGTCCATTTAAATAGGCCTTCGCCACCGTGTCCTTTTTAAAATGGCCGGCGCTTGTTTTATGTATGTTTGTTGTTTGTTTGAACTAGTGCGTGAAAACCAAGTGCGCGCGAGCTCTCGACACCAAAACAAAATGAAGAGGAGAGAGGAGGAGGAGGCAGGAGGAGGTAGAGGAGGAGGGAGAGGAGGAGAAGGAGGAGTAACAGAAACGAGATGAGGAAAAGAGGAAGAGAAGAAGTATGAGGAGGAGGGGAAGGAGGAGGACTGTTGGACGGACGGACGACGACGGACGGACGGACGGATGAGGGAGGGGGAAGATGCATGACGAGGAGGAAGGAGGATGAGGAGGAGGAGGAAGGAGGAGAAGGAGAAGGACCAATGAAGACCCAAGACCCATCAACGATGTTGGAATAAACTCTCCCTGCAACTTCCCTCTTCATAGGCCTACAATGCCCCGCTGGGAGACAACTGTTTGAAGATCTTGAAGTGTGCCATAACACCAGTCTCGGGACTTCAGCGAAACAAATCAACGTGACTGTTCCGCATTGGCGATCCTGGCTCGTGACAGAACACCAATTCCTGGGAATGCATGTCTTCGCCGTCGGCGTCGTCTCCGCAACGACATTGGGCTCGGGTGGTAGCGCCCCCTGGGCGGCAGCGACGGCAGTGCGAGTCCGCGGCGGCTTGCGATGACGGATCGTCGGTCTCGCCCTCACCCCCGCGTGCCAGAGCCCGTCCCGATCGAGTGGTTCTGGATCAAGCCTGGCCCGTGGGAGAAACCGACACCCGAGATGGAAAAGTTGATGAACAAGGAGGGGGCGGAGCGCCGCAAGCCGTTCATGAGCGGTGCGACGACTGCGGCAACCACTCCAGAAGTGGCGACCCGCGACGACGAATCCACCCACACCTCCCCCTCCCCCTGGAGGAAGAGGAGGAGGAGTAGGAGGAGGAGTAGGAGGAGGAGGAGGAGGAGGAGGAGGAAAAGGTTGAGGAAAAGGAGGAGGAGGACAAGAAGGAGGAGGAACAGGAGGAGGAGGACGAGGAGGAGGAGGAAGAAGAGGAGGACTAGGAGGACAACGACGAGGAAAAAGAGGAGGACGAGGAATAGGAGAATGAGGATAGCGCGCCCCTCAGGTGAGCGCATCGTCGGCAGCAGCATCGGGGCCACCGACGCCGCCCCCGACGGACCGCCGAGGGGGTGGGAGAAGGAGGAGGACGAGGAGGAGGAGGAGGAGGAGGAGGAGAAGGAGGAGGACGAGGACGAGGAGGAGGAGACGGAGGAGGAGGGGAAGGAGGAGGAGGGGGAAGAGAAGGAAGAGGAGGAAGAGGAGGAGAGAGGGGGGATAAGAAGGAGAGAGAGAATGGGGCCGCGTCCCGAGAGGACGCGGGCAACCAGATCGGCATCGGCAGCACGCAGATCGAGGAGCGCCGCCGCCGCAGAATGACGAGAAGGATGAGGAGGAGGAGGACGAGGAGGAGGAGGAGGAGGAGGAGGGAAAGGAACATGTAAGAGGAGGAGGAGGGGGAGGAGGCGGCGGAGGAGGAGGAGGAGGGGGAGGACGAGGAGGAGGAGGAGGAGGAGGAGGGGGAGGGGAGGGGTAGGGAGGAGGGGGGGAAGTGGAGAAGAAGGAGGAGGAGGAAGAGGAGAGAAGGAGGAGGAGGAGGAGGAGGAGGAGGAGGAGGAGAGTCAACTTTACAACGCTACAAACTCGAGGTTATGTTCTCCAGGTTTGACTCGGCCCTCTCGGGGGCGCTCTCGTCGCCACGGATGGGCGGGGCTCGATGTGCCAGGGGGCAGGGGGTCCACGGAATCAGTTTTTGGTGTTGTAAAGTTGACTTTACTCCTCCTCCTCCTCCTCATCCTCCTCCTCGTCCTCCTCCTCATCCCCCTCGCCCTTTTCCTCCTCCTCCTCCTCCTCCTCCTCCTCCTCCTCCTAGGCTTCATGCACCCACCCGTCCATTTACTCCTCCCAAGTTTCCGTCTCCTCCTCCTCATTATCCTGATCATTATCCTCATCCTCCCGCTCTTCGCCCTCAAATGTCCTCGCTCACCCGTCTCCTCATTGCACCTCCTCCTCCCCAGCAGCTCGCGCGTCGCCATCTGGGCTCAAAACGAGCGCCTCTCGGCGGTGCGAGGCGCCGCGCGGCTCCACGCCGCATGGCCGATGACGAGGATCAGGACTCGCCATGCAGGGGCCTCTCGTGTTCGGACGTGGAGCTGATGGTTTCGGAGTTCAAGGCATTCTTCGAGCGGCCTGATTGGCTGCAGTGCAGGGCGGACCTCAGCAAGCACCCGAGCAAGGACGACCAGGAGGGCATCAAGAGGCACATCAAGGTGTGCATCGCCATCAGGAGCAAGGTCGCGCCGAACTGCTCGCTGGCTAAGAAGGCCACGGAGCACGCCGTCGAGTGATCTCGAAGGAGAACAAGTGGGAGTTCCCAGGGGACACCCTCGTGGCGTACCGCGCCGAGGTGGCGGCGAAGCTTCGGGCGCTCGCCAGGCACTGCGCATCGCTGTGGAGCAGGCCGAAGCTGCCCAAGTGGTTCGTGGAGTACCTCGAGGCAGAGGGCTACAACGAGAGCCCCGACGCCAAGCCAGCGGGAGCGGCTGCTCCAGCTCCAGCGCCAGCGGCAGCAGCAGCAGCAGCAGCAGCAGTAGCAGCAGCAACAACAGCAGCAGCAGCACCACAACCGCCACCGACGGCGCCTGCCGACAGCACGAACTCCGTGTACAAGTACAGCGAGTACAAGAACACTGCGATCAGGACCCAAACGGGCACGACTGCCGAGATCGAGCGCGAGAAGATCGAGGGCCCAGATGCAACCGGCTGGCGCAGAGCGTTCTGGCCCGACGGCGCGACGTGGCAGTTCCCCAAGCATCTGCGCGTCAAGCCGAAAGCATGCGCCAGCAAGCTGCCCCGCATCGCCGTCTTGTGCAGGAGCGAGGGCCAGTTCGAGGTGTTCATGCGCCTGGCGAAGGACAGGGGCCCAGACCACCGCCTGGTCCAGATCATGAAGAAGACCAGCACGACGGAGAGCGGCACCGTCCTGGAGCAGCAGACGCAGGCGAGCTGCGGGCACTGGCCCTCGGAGGACGAGGCGATCGCGGCGATGAAGGGCATGCTCGACAAGTTCGTGAGCGGGGGGATCACGACCAAGCAGGAGGCCAACAAGTACAAGATGGACATCATCAAAGGCCTGGAGAAGCGACGAGGCGTTGCAGGCGCAACGATGCGGAACAAGCTGAGGCACGAGTGGGGGGTGGCAATCTTCCGATTAGGATTTGAGATGTTGTGGGCACGAGTTCGGAGGATGCCGAGGAGGAGGAGGAGGAGGAGGAGGAGGAGGAGGAGGAGGAGGAGGAGAGGAGGAGGGGGAGGTGAACTTCACGAGGAGGTGATGGAGCAAACCTGGCTGCCCCCATGTACGGAAGGAGGAATAATGGCGAGGACAGGAGGAGGAATATAAGGATAAAAATAAAGAGGAGGAGGAGGAGGAGGAGAGGAGGAGGAGGAGGAAGAGGGAGATGAGGAGGGAGGAGGGGAGGAAGGAGGAGGAAATAGGGGGGAGGAGAGGCGGGAGGAGGGAGGGCAGGAGGCGAGGTAGAGAGGAGGAGGAGGAAAGGGAGGACTACGAGGAGGAGAAGGAGATGAGGAGAAGGAAGAGGAGGAGGAGGAGGAGGAGGAGGAGGAGGAGGAGAAGGAGGAGGAGGATAAGGAGGAGGATTGCCACCCCCCACGCGCACTTCAGCTGCCTCTGCATCGTTGGCGCCCGAAGGTGCGACAGCTGGTGCCGAGGCCGCCGACTCGGGGCTACAGAACGGACTAGGGGAAGACGAGGCGCCTGGCGATGAAGGGGACGACGACGCAGCAGCATCGAGCAAGCGCAAGGCCAGCGTCGAGAAGAGCTCCGACGCGAAGGTCACGATCATCCCGATGAAGAAGGCGAAGGCGAAGGCGAAGGTGATCGAGCAGAGCTCAGACGCGGAGGTCGCGATCACCCCGATGAAGAAGGCGAAGGCGAAGGCGAAGGTGAAGCCGACGCAGATCGAGGAGCCGACGGGGGGCGCCGTCGCTGCCGCCGCGGCTGAGGCGACGCACACGCAGAGCACGCCCGAGCTGACCGCCACGAAGCCAGCGGACACCAACGTGGTCAGCGAGGGTGTGAAGGGGCCGACCCAGACGGCCATCGAGAAGGCAGAGGAGGCGCTGAGGATCATGGTGTCGGACTCCGAGTGACGTGGAGAGATGCCGCAGGACCAAAATTCATCACCACATCCACCTCCGCCGCCACCACCATCATTACCATCACCACCACCTACAACAGACACTAGGGACAACCACTTCGGAAACCGCCACCACCATCATTACCATCACCACCACCTACAACAGACACTAGGGACAACCACTTCGGAAACTGATGAGGGTGAGGATGAGGAGGAAGAAGAGGATGAGGATGAGGATGAGGATGAGGAGGAAGACGGATGAGGCATGAAGCACTGCCGCCACCATCATGGCCACCATTACCATCATCCATCAGCCGCGCCTCCTGTCCCAGCTCGGCCTACATCCCTCCCCCATTTCTCTGCCCTCTCACGCTCACTACGCGAACTCCCGCAAACTAAATCCTCCCCATATCCTCCCATCCTCGCATCCTCTTCATCGCCTCTCGTGCTCCTCCGTCCCAACCTCATCATATCCGTTATCACTCGGCTGCTTGCCCTGACCCTCGCATTGATCGCTCGTTGCCTCCCCCGCGCCGCCAGGAGGAGACGCACAAGTGCCAGGAGGGCTCGACCATGGGCTACGGCAGCTTCGCGTGGACAGCGGACCGCTGCCCCGCGACGCAGGAGTTCGAGGAGCGAGCGGGTGGCGCCCGAACAGCCCTCCTCGTCCTCATACTCCTCCTCGTCCTGCTCCTCCTCCTGCTCCTTGTCCTCCGCCTCCTCATCCCCCATCCGCCGCCTCCTTCTCCTCCCTCTCCTCCTCCCCCTAACCCTCCTCCTCCTCCTCCTCCTCGTCCTCCTCCTCCTCCACATCGTCCCTCCACCTTCTCGTTCTGTTCCTCCTCCTCCTCCCCCTCCGCCTCCCCCCCCTCCTCCTCTTCCCCCTCGTCCTCCTCTTCCTCCTCCTCGCCATCGCCCGTCCGCAGTTTTAGGAGCCCGCATCCCCCCTCGAAGGATGCGAAGCGTGCACATCGCGGGTGGGCGCAGCGTGCTGGACGCCCACTCTGCGCGCAGCCGCCAGAGGCTGAGGTCGGGGGCGGGGTGGCACCGTCTACGCCCGCGGCAGAGGCTGAGGTCAGAGGTGGAGTGGCACAGTCCAAGCCCGTGGCAGAGGCTGAGGTCGACTGCAGTGTGGCGCAGTCCAAGCCCGTGACAACGGCTGAGGTCGGAAGCGGAGTGGCACCGTCCGAGCCCGTGACAAAGGCTGAGGTCGGAGGCGGAGTGGCACCGTCAGAGCCCGTGGCAGGGGCTGATGTCGGAAGCGGAGTGGCACCGTCTGAGCACGTGACAAAAGCTGCAATCGGAGGCGGAGTGGCACCGTCAACGCCCGTGACAGGGGCTGGCACAGGAGGCGGAGTGGCACCGTCAGAGCCCGCGGCGGTGGACATCGGCATGCGTGCTGCCGTGCTGGACCAGATCGGCATCGTCGAGGCGAACCCGATCGCCTTCGGCATGGCGCCTGTGGGCATGGCCTCGATCGGCGTGCAGCCAGCGAACCCGAGCCAGTGCGGGCTGCAGCAGGTCGCCGTGGGCCAATCGGCCCCGCCACCACCGTTCATGCACAATGGCGACACCTGGGGAGTGGCACCCCTCGCTCGGAGCCTCCCGCAGGACCCGTCCACTGCGGAGAAGGGCGGCAACCTCCTCGGGCTCTTCGGCATCCAGCACCTGAGCATGAAGCTCGGTGAGCTCGCGAAGGAAGCGGCCCAGCTCGCGCCCAGCGCTCCCGCCGCGGGTGGCGCGCCAACAAAAGAGGTGACCCAACCACCGGAGATGAGGAGAAGGAGGAGGAGGAGGAGGAGGACGAGGAGGAATAAGGGCCCCAACGACTCACTCCACAAAGAGGAGGATGAGCCCGAACGGCTCACCCCCACAAGGATGAGTCCGAACGGCTCAGGAGGAAGAGGAGGAGGAGGAGAAAGATAAGGAGAATGAGGAGAGGGAGGATGAGGAGGAAGAGGAGGAGGAGGAGGAGGAGGAAGAGGAGGAGGAGGAGGAGGAGGAGGAGGAGGAGGGGGGTGAGGGAGGAGGAGGGCGGACGGGGGAGGGGGGAGGTGGGAGGAGGTGGAGGGGGGACGGAGTTTCTTTTTGAGCTCCACAGGTGGCAGCGCGCAGCCGATGTCCAAGGAGGAGAAGACAGTGGAGGATGCGTACCTCGCTCGCAGCGTCCCAGCCCGTTCGGCCATCGACAGCAAGTTCAGGCGCTTCATCGCCGACGAGCCGCAGGAGGCGGCCAAGTACAAGAAGTGCGTCGGTCGCGACGCGAAGGAGGCGTTCAAGCTGGACTGGGTTGACAAGGAGTGGGCGAAGGTGCAGACCAAGCGGATCGATGGGCATCTCAGATCGTGCACCGCTCACCTCGACCATAGCACCCAACGTCCTCAGTCGGGCGCTCGAGGCTATGGTCGAAGTGAACGGGTCACAATCCCAGATGACGTCAGGAGCCACGTGAGGGAACAATCCGAGAGCATCGAGGACTGGGGCGAATACAAAGCGTTCGAGGTCATTGCCAGAGAGGAGAGCGGGGTCGGCATCACGGAGTCAGGGGCCACCGCGGCGCTGGACATCTGCTTGGCCTGCATGAAGATGGGGGCGCCGTTCGTGAGGTGCGACGCCTGGTCCCGCAGGATGCAGTTCTTGCACGTGAAGGGCCAGCGCCGCTGGAGGTGGGAGCGCAAGTGGCAAGAACACCAGGAGGAGTACGGTGACCAGGGTGATCTCGTGGAGCAGTTCGCGATCGTGGTGGCGGACAGCGAGGGCGAGACGGCAGCGAAGCGCCGCCGCCTCACGGGCAAGACGTCAGACACCGCGGCGGCGGAGCCCGGTGCGACGGCCGCCGCTGCGGAGCCCGCAGCCTCTGCGGCAGGCATCCCCGCCAGCCAGGCGGCGGCAGCACCAGCGCCCGCGGCAGGCGCTCCTCCGACAGCGGCTGCAGGCGCCCCTCCAGCTGGCGCGGGCCAGCCGTCGATGCCAAAGGCTGGCGCGGCCCAGGAGGCGCCCTTGGCCAAGGCCAAGGCGGTCGCGCCGAAGGCCAAGGCGGGCGCGCCGAAGGCCAAGGCGAAGGCTGCGGCCAAGGGCGCCGCCAGCAGCAGCGGCGGAGGGAGCGGAGGCGACGGAGCCGACGACAGGGCTGCTGCGAAGGAGGCGGCAAAGGAGCTGGCCAGGGAGAGGAAGAAGCTGGAGAGCGAGGCCCAGGCGCAGATCCAGGCGTACAGCTCGGCCAGCACGCAGTCGACGCTGCTCTTGAGCAACGTCGCGACGGTGTCAGAGTGGCAGTGGGCCAACAAAGAGATCAACACGAAGAAGCTGACGGCTGCCTTGAGTGAGCTCAACGGCGTGACGACGAAGTCTGGCACCTTCATGTCGCAGATGCTCTTCTTGCCACTCAACGAGGTGAAGCACGACTGGGGCGATGGGTACTTCTACAAGCACGTCGGCCCCGTGACCCAGGCGATCCGCCCCAAGGTCGCGAAGGTGATGGCGGAGATGGGCCGCTTGCACAGCATGCGCGCGTCGTTCGAGGCAGCCGATATTGCCATGGGGGATGATGATCAGTAAGCGCGTGCATGCCATCCACCTTCAGACGGTGAGGCTTGGTGGAGAGCCTCGGTTGTTCGATGAAGTGAGTGAAGTGCGAAGTGAGTGAGTGACGTCTTCAGTGCATCGGCCGCAGCCTCGGGCCACGCAGCGGCCTGTCGCATTTTGTTTGGAGGCCTCGCAGCAGCACGCTGCGAGCGAGTGGGAATGCACTCAGCACGAGTGCAAGCAGGGCGGACGCGTCTCGTTGATGAGTCGAGCCGTGGCTCGAGGATCGGGAGGGGGGAGACGGACGAAAGATGAGGGAGGAGGATCAGGAGGAGGAGGAGGAGGAGGAGGAGGAGGAGGAGGA